AGTGACTCACCCACAGAGAAACCGACTCGTAACTCTCAAAAAAGGTATGGACAGCGAGCAGATGTGAATACACTTGATAAGTCGAAATATGAATATATATACGAGGGTTTTAAATATAGACAGACCGATTGCATTAAGGCGCGTCCCCTCCGGACCAACCCATGCTTGCTGTAAAAGGCGACTATGCTTGTCATAAGAGGCGACTAATGGCATCAGGTGGTCAGGCTCTCTGACTTGGTTGATGCATGTCATCGTATCCCAATTGTGTGGATCGATGCTCATGATGTCAATCCCTTTATTGTCTGGTACATACCGCCGTCATATAGCTGTAATATTGCTAAGTGCGGCGTTAAACAACAAACAAACAAACAAGCATTAAGGCGTATTGACAAAGAAAACCAAATTGAAGTTAAGGATTTATTAACAGTGAGCAATACACAAGAGCTAAAGCGTTAATGCTTTAAGTAAGTACATGCAAGGTGACCTCACATAACGTGAGATACGCCTAACAGGCGAGTAGTCACATGTTAACAACTCTGATAGTAACTAGTCATTACCAAAATACAACTTTCTTGATCTAAATACACAGAGGGTATTAAATCTAACAGGTATACAATACACCACACAATAGGTTTCACGGACAAACCACCCGTGACATCACCAGCTTCTTGTCTTCACACAGCTGGACAGCGACTCCGGCCTTTCATCTAGCGTCTTAAGGAAATACTTTTCAGTCATTAAGAGTGAGTGAGTGAGTCTGGTTTAACGCCGCTTTTAACAGTAATCAGGTCATATCACGGCGTGTCAGCTTAATGTGGGAGGAAAGCCCGAAGTGATGCAGGTCTTAGACGTTTACCACTTCGGTGAAACCCACAAGCACGGGTATGGTGCTGACAAACCTAGAAACATAATCAGGGCGAACCGGAATTCGAACCCACAATCATAAGTTTCTGGCGTGCCTAAGGGACGCAACTCTGCACAGAGAATCGCGGCGCCTTAGACGACTGGGCCACCCGTGCCCCCCCCCCCCCCCCCCCCCGTCATTAAGAAATACGATTATTACATGAATGATCGGGAACAACACTCTCGCGACAACACTGTCCTGTCTGTGGTATAAGAGCTTCAGATTGCACCGTTCAAGACAGGGGCGTAGCTAGGGGAAATTATAATGTTGAAAATCATATTGCAGTTACTGTACTTATTTTTTTAATCACGAAATATCCTTACCACGTTCTGTACATAACACATTTCGATTATTGTTATCAACTCCGGATATCCTCATAAACTATAAACTGTCAATGCTAGAGAATAACCACTCTATATTATGCACCGGAACAGATTCCATTGGGCTTAATGGGCACAATAACTGTGAGAATTAAGTGAAAGGACCACCGACAATCAGTTATGAGTGAGTGAGTTGGGTTTAACGCCGCTTTTAACATTATTCCAGTTAAATTTCGGCGTGTCAGCTTAATGTGGGAAAAAGCCCGAAGTGATGCAGGTCTCGGACGTTTACCACTTCGGTGAAACCCACGAGCACGGGTATGGTGCTGACAAACCTAGAAACATTATCGGGGCGAACCGGGATTCGAACCCACAATCACAGGTTTCTGGCGTGCCCGAGAGACGCAACTCTGCACAGATAATCGCGGCGCCTTAGACGACTGGGCCACCTGTGCCCCCGACAATCAGTTATGACACCTGGTGTTTGCTGAATGTGAACAGGAAATGTAACAAGCAAACAACAACATCGAACCAACTCATCACCGATATGTTGACACTGGTAGGCGGCGGGTCAATCTGTAAATTAACAAAAGATCATGTAACTATAACAAACGACTGAAATAAGAACACACTAAAGTACCTTTTTAAAATTATTTATTCTATTTGATATTTGTAACGATTTAAGCACATGCTTTTTGTGAGGTCTTAACACTCCAAGTCCGAATTCGAGGTTGTGAACCGACTTATTAACAGACATACTCTTCCTGTCATGGATTGATACATGTAATAATCAACTATGCTCGTCTAACGCCCAATAACATAGTAGCACGTGCAGCATCCGGTCGGCGACGCACGTTGTCACAATCCACGTGCTCAGTGAACCATTGCTTCATCCCCTACCTTGGAAGCTTCCAATGGGACAACACTAAGTTACAATACTAAACATGATATATGCGGGTGCAGGTTCGATTCACGTCATGGACTTTTCATGTGGGAAAAACCCTTGACTTTCAAAAAGCCAAAACTCAACATTAAATGATATAATTCAAAAGTAAAAACTCAAAGCAGGTCTCTTTTATGATTCAAGGTAAAACCTTAGGTCCTACAGTTTAGCTGAGAAGTTTTACCTGAGATTCTGGTATCGTAATGATCTGTTATCGTTCAGTAATGGTTAAATATCCAATTCCCTTCAACTGATTTACCCACCTGTAGATTCCGGGGTAGAATAGATCTTCAGCAACCCATGCTTGCCGTAAAAGGTGACTATGCTTGTCGTAAAAGGCGACTAACGGGATCGGGTGGTCAGGCTCGCTGACTTGATTGATGCATGTCATCGATCCAAATTGCGTGGATCGATGCCCATGATATTAATCACAGGATTGTCTGGTCCAAACTCGATTATTTACATACCGCCGTCATATAGCTGGAATATTGCCGAGTGCGGCGTTAAACAACAAACCAACCAACCAACAACCCACCTGTACTAGAAATGAGAGAGCAGTGAAACAGTCTCATCTGTTTCTTATTCCGAGCTGTGCAAAAACACAGAATGACTAAACTTATCCATAAGTATGTATGACAAGAGGGATGCCTGCAACTCCACAATAGTCCCCAACTCTTCCTTCATGTCCAGCAATATTCCTGCAGCCCCATCCTTTGTATCTATTACACATTTTGAGATACAATCGGCATGCTCTTTTACGAGTGAGTGAGTGAGTTAGGTTTAACACCGCTTTTAACAGTATTCCAGTCATGTCACGGCGTGTCAGCTTAATGTGGGAGGAAAGCCCGAAGTGATGCAGGTCTCAGACGTTTACCACTTCGGTGAAACCCACGAGCACTGGTATGGTGCTGACAAACCTAGAAACATAATCGGGGCGAACCGGGATTCGAACCCACAATCATAGGTTTCTGGCGTGCCCAAGGGACTCAACTCTGCACAGATAATCGCGGCGCCTTAGACGACTGGGCCACCCGTGCCCCCTCTTCCTACGAAGATGTCAAAGAGCGTTATGTAACTCTTGCTCCAGTTGTTTGATCAGGGTTACGACATTCAAAGCCTTTGTAAAGCTTTCAAAAACATTTATGGTAGACACGTGGAAGATATTTCCAACTTGAGGGATCAGCGACCAAAATGATGACCGATTCAAATTCCGATTTTGACTTGTAACAAATGTTCCCGTGTTTTTTGGTTTCCTGCACGTGTTTGTGACGGATGCAACAGGTGGGTCAGAATAAGATCCGCTTTTACTGAACACCTAGAATCACCACTATTTCATAATGATTCATGTTTGTTTTGTTTGTTTCTTGTTTAACGCCGCACTCTGCAATATTCCAGCTATATGACGAGTCTGTATATAATCGAGTCTGGATCAGACAATCAAGTGATTGACATCATTGGCATCGATCCACACAATTGGATACGATGACCTGCATCAACCAAGTCAGCGCGCCTGACCACCCGATCCCGTTAGTCGCCTCTTACGACGAGCTTAGTCGCCTTTTACTGCAAGCATGGGTCCAGTGATTCGTGAATACATGTTTATGATACAGGTCGGAATCGTACAATGCACAGCTTTCTTATGATAATTGTTGTGTTGCTTTTTTTTAAATGGAGGCAGGTAAGCATTATTTAGAAGAAAACCCAAACTGAACCAGGTGAAAACTTTTGATATCGAGTAATATTTATATATGGATCACAACGTTGTTCAGTCAACTATATTTCTGTTAACTCACGTCGATATAAATATTATATAACCAACTCTGAACCAGGGGAACTAGTGTCTGACAAGCATGAGAAACCATAAGTCGGGTACGATGACACGCAATCAGCCGAGTTACATACTGTTTACACGATACTTACGACAAGCATGGGGTATTGGGGTTACCAATGAGTATCGGATGTTTATACAAATGACTCACCTTCAGAAGTCTCAGCCGTAGTCTCATAAATCTGAGGTTCTTACGTTTTTGTCGCATTTTGAAATATTGTGATTTTGAGAGTTTGCGTTTCCATGACAAATTGGACTTAAATGTTTTGTGTTCCGGAAAGTAACATTCGGACAGCATAATTATGACATCCCCATTTTTCTTAGCTTGGACTTTGGTCATTACCATATGTCGCTACGATGTGTATTAGGATCATAATGACGGATATTGGTTGTCTCACAAGCATTTTCCGATTGTTCCTGAATGAGAGGGAACCCATTTTGTCATAACATCCATATGACATTGCTGAACACAACAGTCAAATCCAATTATTTCTCTGGACATCCAGGTCAACTGCATTTAAGGCTATTAGATGGACAGTATATTTTTTCTAATATCCTCACTTTCATACATGTGAAGTTTTATTATCTGGTCCAAACTGTTTGTCTTTTGTCTATTCAACATTTTTTCGTAAATGCTACCAAGTTAGTGGTTACTCGGGGTCAAATTCACCAACAGACAAAGCAAATTGGTTCATGAAAACCCTACCAACAAAACGGTTTCTATAATCATAGGAAATCTCTGCGAAAGATGGTCACCATTGTACAATATCATAAGCATCTATTATCATATTCACTTATCACCGACCCCGTGGTAGAATGTGCCCCCAGCACCCCATTGCTGGTCTTAAGAGGCGACCAAATTGGGCAACCCCTGAAGACACCAAGGTAGTTCAACTCTCTCTCCCCAATAGAAGCATTGCGTTGGGAGTCTCCGTTAAACTTTGATATAATAATGCATACGGTATACAATTACGTACTCCCTTCAGTAAGGACAGAAAGGACGTCTTGATTTAGAAGTTTTATTTTGCTTAAAACCTGAAGGAACATATGTATCTCTCATTTTTTCATTGGTAAGATGGAAATAGTTGCCTTGTGCCCGATTCAAGTGGCCAGTTTATAGTCTGTCACTGTAGTGTCCAGGATTGTCAAATCCACCGTTGACATTAACTGATGTGTTCCCCGTCTCGTTATCGGTGTTGATACCGTCTCCCATGTTACTATGAACCTTTCCATTGATGAAGTATCTTCCTGTCCGGTTTTCCTGGTTGGCAGGTCCCCAGCTGCTCCTTGGCGTGAAGGCTTTCCTCTGAAAATATAGTCATGAGTGTCAGGGCGTTAAGCGATTCATACATACAGGCAACAGAGAGCCTACACCTGTGATAGAATTTCATGATTTACACGTTCCACGTAATGGAATAAATCTACTATGGAAACTTCTGATTTGATTAGAACATTACAGTCTTTCACTTACAGGTCCGAGTCTGTAGACGTGGATTACCATAACGAGGAGTATAACAGCAAGAGGGGCGACAACCATGCACCAGCCAATGCCCTCAGCCCACGGGGGGTACCTGTAGTCTCCATAGTTGGCTGGGGTGTACTGAGTGGCAGACATGATCACGATGAACTGAAATGAATGCACACATCTAGAAATACGTCAGGCAACGCTTTCTATATATTTCCATGACATAGTCGTATCTTGCATTAACTGTCTGCCTAAAGGCATCTTTTTCTGTTTACAAAATGACACACTCATATTGAAATACAGACATCTACCATCTAATGAACTGTGTGTATCTGTTTCATGGCAATATGACCGCCTCCTTGGTCTAGTGGTGGAGCGTCCGCCCGGAGAGCGGAAGGTCCGCGGTTCGATCCCGGCCGCATCATACCAAAAGACGTTAAAAGATGGTCCTTGTTGTTACCCTGTCTGGCACTAACATAAAGGGGTTAAAACAAGGACCGGTCGGCTCGGAGTCAGTATACTGTTTCTAAGTGGGATATTCATGTTAAATTGCGGCATGGTATCTTAGTGAGCTAGCACTATAAATCGGCATCAGTCCGGACTAGTACAAGCAGTCACCCGTGAAGATTCCGGGGTAGAATAGGTCTTCAGCAACCCATACTTGCCGTAAAGGGCGACTTTGCTTGTCGTAAAAGGCGCTTAACGGGATCGGGTGGTCAGGCTCGCTGACTTGGTTGATACCTGTCATCGATCCCAATTGCGTTGATCGATGCTCATGATGTCAATCACTGGATTGTCTGGTCCAGACTCGATTATTTTACAGACCGCCGTCATATAGATGGAAAATTGCTGAGTGCAGCGTTAAACAACAAAAAATCAATCACTCAATCACCTCAAGTCAATAGTTGACTACTCATTCAATGACCTAGCTACAATCCGGGTCGGCCCTCATACTTTTCCCAAAGATACATTGTTCAGGATATCTGAAACTAATTATAATCAAAGCGACAAAACCCTTTCTAAAATCAAAAGAGTCGATTGTACTTCCGACTGAATCATCGTGTTTTTTACTTTCAGTGGGTGATGGTACTAGGTGTGAGGGGAAAAGATGAGGAGGTACTTAACGTTTGTCCAGGTGTATTCATATATGCATCTGTATTTCATTTGGACTGTGAATGACTAAATTTCCCTGCACTGATAAGACTGAGCCACAAATACATCACCCAAAGGTGGCGACGGAACCACCTACAAGTAGGCTGAGGGGAGTCAGGAACGCCCAAGTCACGACCCAGTAGGGGTTGGGTCGGTGGCCAAGCATCATCTTAATGTCCTCCATGAATTGCTTGACACCTGTACAACAATAAAATATCTTGCAGTAATATATAACGCGACCATTTCCATAATCATAAGCAATCCTTGTGCTAGCAGAGTCCATTGTCCGATTCCATCCATCAGAAGCAGGTGCTTGTGAATCACTATCAAATATCCGGCCCAGCGGTGGCACGCATCACATGCACATGCAAGGGCAAGGCAATTGTTCACCTGTACATATAATACAAGTTGAAATAACGAAATACATCGGACATTATTATCGTTACTGATGGAAATGTTTTCCACGTCTGCCACAAAACAGAAAGCCTCGACATAAAGGGAAAGTTGACTATTGTGAAGTTGAAATCATCCCTCTTGTCATACAGTCTTGAGAGATTTTGTCACTTTGAATCTTATGTACAGATCTTAATATGAAGCAGGTGAGGATTTCCGAGAGGCAGAATAAATCCCTTATACCCAGTTTCAAGGCAAAAAGCTGCACGCCTTTTCCGAGTCAATGAAAGTCCCGTGACATAGCACAAGCTTGCCTCCGCTCAATCGAACAGGTGTTTTCTATCAATTTTGAATGTCTTTTTATTCTTTTACAAAGTCATATTAAAACATGTTGGTAAGAGCACGATCGTTGTAGCATGATCACACGGGGTACATGGGATTTTATGCGTCCCCCGTTTGGTCTCATATCACTTTACTCCGGCCTCCAACGTCTCTGCTACAACTTATATAATTTTGATCCGAGCAGAAAATCCAATTCATATGCATACAAACAGACATCAACAAGAAAGAGAGCATACTTGGTGCTCGCGGTTGTGCCTACAGAATAATAAAGGATCCTGCCGATCAGGGGGAGAATAAACGTATTTTCTGAAGGGGGATTTACAGACGCTTCACAGTGAACAGTTCGTTCATATACAAAAACACTTTGATCAATGGGTTCCATCGACTTAGTTGGTTACCTGCAGATCTGCGTAACACGTTGGGAAGAAATGGAGTCGTGAAGTTGCATTATATCACTGCAATCGGTGTAACGCAAGCTCACCACGAAAATTTGTTACTTGGAATTAGGTTTTGTAAACCTTGGGCGTGTTGCAAGCCAAGAATTGCTTCGAGTAAGCAAATTAATCACTCACCAGGGGTCTGCAACATCACGACGTGCTAGCTCAGACTTCCAAAATGGCGGCGCGACAAGCGCTTGGTTGCCTTGCCCAAATGAAGTGAGTGAGTGAGTTGGTTTTACGCCGCTTTTAGCAATATTCAAGCAATATCACGGCGGGGGACACCGGAAAATGAGTTTCACACCTTGTCCAAAATGAAGAACGTAATAGAAGAAGATCGGTTACGAGCCGATGAGTTTATGACTATTGATGACTACTACATTGGGGATGCTGGTATGTTAGCTGCCTTTGCCCATTTCATAGTTGAGCCAGTCAAAAAGGTCTTGTTCTGCAGTCAAACTCCAATTTCAGTCACTATTTTGGATTGAGAACGATGCGACCTTGATGCAATTGCAAGCGGATGCAAGTTGTAAGGCGAATCGCTGTACATCGCTTGCATTTGATTGGCTGTTTGCAACGGACCAATTATTCCAAGTTGCTGTGAAACATTAATTGTTGTCGCGCAAGAAATATATTATAATCACAACTGCCGCCAGTTTATGTTGTGTAGTGTGATTGTTTCGTGACCTAGTTAAAACTAGTTCCACTATGGATTCCTTCCAAAACTGGTCATGATGACCTGGAGGATTGAGTCGAGTACCAGCGAGACAAGTCGAGTACCAACAAGGCGAGTCGAGTACCATCGAGACGAGTCGAGTACCACTAAGGTGAGGCGAGTACCACTAAGGTGAGGCGAGTACCACCGAGGCGAGTCCAGTACCACTAAGGTAAGTCCAGTACCACCAAGGCAAGGCGAGACAAGTTCCACCGAGGGGGAATACCAGTCGACTAAAAACAAGGTGAGTCGAGGACCAACAAATGGTCTGATCGAGGTAACGCCTATGGTGAATGTTCTGTTTCTCATAGATGAACAGTGCATTCCTTTATGTGCTTGAAGGTAAGGTGCCTACGATATATTTACAGCATCGATACATATTTCTATTATGTGTATTACATCATTATAATTATACATGTATACCGAAACACGCATATGTGATATACATCCAACTATCTATACATTCTGTCTATCGATTAGACATCTTATTTCAGAGAGTACATACCGTACACATACATGATACAGATGATCTCCGTCAGAGCCACCAGCATCAGGTTGTAGCTGGCGCAGTACCAGTCCATCAGTGTCAGCATATAAATACCACCCTGGGGAAAAAAACAATGAAAGCTACAGTAAACTACGGTTATAACGAACTCAAAGGGACCCCTTATTTTAGTTCGTTATAACAGTAGATCGTTATAAGCACATATACAACATAACTACATCAAATAGTCGGGACAAAAAAGTAAGTTCGCTATATCCGTCAGTTCGTTATAAGCGTGTTCGTTATAAACGTAGTTTACTATATAAATATGTTGATGAAAAAGCATTAACTGTACGTCTAATCTGTGCATGCATAGTCATCAGTTTTCAGTATCGAGTAATCAATCCTTGATCACTAAATAAAGAGATTCACTATTGTAAGTAATCAGACCATACTCTGGCTTTTACACATTTATATGTTGAGAGAAACAAAGATCAGTGGGAAAGTAGAAGGCGGTAATAGCGATCTATGCTCGTCTGACCAACCTTTGTAACTTGGGGCAACCCCAGTAGGAAGCCAATCAGACAGCAGGTGCCAGTGAAGGCCGTCTTGTGGGCTCTCAGGAAACGGGGGAAGATGTCAGTGATGCCACTTAACAGTGTTTGCATCATTACTAACTACACAAAAAAAGAAAGATATTTCTATGTCCACATTTAACATATATGGAATTATTTTATTTTGTCTGTGGTGTGGCAAGTAGCATGACATCTTTTTATTCTGGTTATGCTGATGTTTTTAATCACTTATTGATAGACAGTATGTCAGGCTAACATAAAGTGATTCACCCTATAATTTAGGCTGAAATGCGAACACTACTTCACAGTTTATGTCCAGTATGACAGCCTGTAATTGAATACAATTTAGAAATATTCAATATCAATGGGAATGCTGTCAAGGGAAAATGATATCAATTACACAGGATTCAACTTGTGCAGTGTTCCAACTCATAATGTATGACGGGGCACGAGCGGCCCAGTCGTCTGAGGCGCCGCGATTCGCTGTGCAGAGTTGCGACCCTTGGTTCGCCCCGATTATGTTTCTAGGTTTGTCAGCACCATATCCGTGCTGGTGGCTTTCACCGAAATGGTAAACGCTTGAGACCTGCATCACTTCGGGCTTTCCGCCCACATTAAGCTGACACGACGTGCAATAACTGGAATACTGTTAAAAAGGGCGTTAAACCCAACTCACTAATAATGTATGACCTGGAAACTATTAAGATACTATTAATTTAACTAATATCAGTGACTACTCTCTGTTTGACACTGGGTAATGTGATGTGTATCCCACCTGAGTGTCAAGGCCAAGGGTTAGCAGCATGAAGAAGAACAGTAAGGCCCACAGTGGTGACACCGGGAGCCTTGCGATGGCTTCTGGGTATGCTATGAAAGCTAGACCTGGACCTGAAACAAAATAAGAAAATACTTAACCATGTCGCATATTTTAATAAATACCCACTGTATCTGTAAAAGAACATATCCTTCATGGTTTGGAGATTATGACATCATGAAACGATTTCAAGGGTTGATGTCCTTAGAAAGTCGTAACCAAAACGCACCAAAGAACCATTCTCAAAATTATCACGTTATTTCTCATGCAAAGTACGAAAAATGCGAAGTGTATGGGTAAAAGGTGTAAGCATTCAAAAGCCAACCAAATAATCACTGTCTCTCCATAGCCCTGAGATTGACGCTTCAGCAACGGGAACGTCACATTGGCATGACTACGAGGACCATAGCAGCAAGGTTTGGATGTCACCAAAGTACGATTACCGCGATTTCAGCAGACGGGACCAGATGAACAGTCAGGGAAGACCGACACATTGCGAAGGCTCATCAGTGAGATCAAACACTTCCGGCTTCGAGAAGAGCATTTACCGTCTTGGCTCGACGAGGATTTATTAGCGCCGCTACTGTACGCTGCCAACTACTCACAAATTGATTACATGCCCGACGTTCTTATGTAGGCCTGGTTTGGTTTGACTACAGTTCCTGGTATCCATTCACCTTCCTTCGTCAGTGGTACTACATCACCTTGTTGAAGTGGTTTCAGCTCTTTACATTTCCTGTCATGATAATATTTCTGTTCATTCTTTCTGTTTGTGTTTCACGTGACTTCTGACATGCCTGTGATCGAATCCTGGTTTCAGGAGGCTTCGTTTAGTTGGAATAACTGTTTTTGTTCGACGACCCAACAATAGCTGTGTATGAGATCCAATGTCGGCTATGGGAGTATTTCGGAGATCCAATTCGCAACAATGCAAGATATGGATCCTGAACGTCGTCCTTTGCTGTCTTGAACAATCTTTTCACAGTTTTAGAGTTCCCTCTGCCAAGCCGCTGCTTTGAGGGGAGTGAGGAGACGATGTCTTGTGTTCAAATCCATATTCATTTGCAAAATCACGAAACTCATAATTTGCATACTGTGGTCCATTGTCTGTCATTACAGATTCTGGAATCCCATGCCTTGCTAAATGTTATTTCAGGATGTTGACTGTAGTAACAGCCTTCATGTCATGTAGTTTGAAGACCTTAAAATACGTTGAGTACTAATCAACCACAATGATGTAGTGTTCTCTTCCCAGTTCAAATACTAAATATATCTGATCCAACATCTTCCCCAGGTCTGTCAGGTATGTCATGCTGAATCAACAGCTCTCATTGTTGACGATTCCTGTAGCGACAACACACACCACAGCTTGATACTAAGTCTCTGATCTGTGCACTCATGCTTGCCCAATAGAGAACATCATGTGCACGCCGCAAACATTTTTCCACTCCCAAGTGACACTGATGAATGTTTCTCAACATTTTCTGTGCATTCTTGTAGGTACGATGATGCATTCACTTTTCAACAAGAGTCCATCTTGGAATGAAATCAATTCACGAGTATTCCAGTATGGCTTAATGTCTCAATCGACCTTGTTAGGAACATCAGGCCATCCATGAAGAACATACTCCTTTAGTTTTTGTAGAGAACTGTCATTTTCTGTTTCCAATCTCATTTCGGCCAGTTGATTTCTTGAAATTGATAAGTTCTCAACTGAATGTACCTCCAAATCCATTTTTTCAGTTTCCTCTAGGTGATCTCGGCTCAGGGTATCCGGGATGTACATACTGATCTAGGCCTGTATATGACTGTATAAGTCATACTTTTGTACTTTCAACATCAGGCGTTGAATCCGGGGTGGCGCTGCTGACAAGGGTTTCTTGAACAGGCATTCCAGGGGTCTGTGATCCGTTTCCACGACAACAGTTTTTCATATATGTACTGGTGGAATTGTGTTGCTCCGTAGACAATAGCTGCCATCTCCTTCTCAATTTGCACGTACTTCCGTTCCACAGGGTTGAGTGATCTGGAAGCATATGATACAGGCTGTTCATCTTGAGTGATACATGCTCCTACTCCATGTGATGAAGCATCCACTGAAAGCTTGATTGGAGAGCTGACATTGTAGTTTTTCAATACTGGTGAATTTGAGATCACTGTTTTCAGGTTGTCGTAACACTTCTGCTGTTTTTCGGTCCACTTTAAGGCAACATTCTTCTCCAAGAGATGTCTAAGAGGCCTGTTAATTGATAAGAGGTTTGGTATGAATTTTCCCAAATAATTGACCACTCCCATGAACCTTTGTAGATCTTGTTTATTCTCTTTGTTTAGCTTCAAGTTCATATCAGAACACTTTGTCAGCATTTTTTCCACTACTTTGTAATGTTCTTCCACTGTCTTTCCCCATATCAAAATGTCATGTCAATGTTCTATGAAAAATCTCTGGAGCACTGCTTATCCCAAGGGGTAATCTTTCAAATTTATACCTGCCGAAAGGTGTATCTAAGGTGCTGAGCCAGGTCTTTCTTCATCCAGTTCTATCTGGTAAAATCCAGATGCTGCGTCCAGCTTCGTGAATACCGTTGCTTCCTTCAGGTTAGCTGCAACTTCCTCTACAGCCTTCATAGGGAAATGTTCACGAAGCTTGATTCAAGCTGTGAAGATCAAGCCAGATCCTTACTTTCTTGTTTGTTTTTTCTAAAACAACAATTGGGCTGACCCACTTTGTTGGTTTTGTTACCCTTGTTATTATGTCGGCTTTCTCCATTCAGTTCAATTCATTCTTCACTTGATCCTGGAGGGCATATGGTATCTTCCGTGGTGGCTGAACTACTGGTGTTACAGACTCGTCCACGTTGATGTGATGTTTGATGCCCTTGATCTTCCCAAGACCTTTGAATGTAGACTCGAACTTGCTGAATATTTGTGATGCATCGGCTTTCTCTTCTTTTTCAACTGTGAACATCGGCTTAATCAAGTTCATTTCCATGCATGAAGAAAGTCCTAGTACTGGCTGTCCGTCTCTGTTGACGACGACAAACTCCACAGGAAACATCTTCTTCTTGTATTCGACAACAAGATGTGTTTTACCCATCGCGATCGGTTCCAGTTTTTGTCCAGAATATGACACAAGCTTTGCCTTTGATCTGGTAAGCATTCTTCCTCCAAGCGATTTGTAAAATTTCCACAAACTTCAACATCAATTTTCCAGTCTGTTTCTGTTTCTTTTCCATTTGTCAGTGCGTCTATGAAGAAAGTTCCTCTTTGCTTCCATCAGAATCTTCAGATTCATAGTCTGTTATGTCATTTTCCAGTATGTGAACTTTTCTCTTCCTTGTATCCTGTTGATTGAAACGACAAACACGTGCCAAGTGATTCGTCTTGCCGCAATTTCTACATGTTTCACCATATGCAGTACAATTTCCTTTTCTGTGTTTTCTTCCACAAAAATAACAGACCTTTACATTTCTGTTTCTTTCCCTCTTTTTATACCTGTCCTTGAATTTGTGTTTTCTTTCAGTTTATTTCTTTTTTGGTCATTTTGATGAGGATTTTGGTGCTTCTTTTTTCCTTGGATTCTCTTCGATTTTTCATGAATTTGTTTTTCTGTTCCTCCTGCTAACTCCTTCAACTGTGATGCACTTGCTTCTGCGGCCCTACAGATGTCTATCGCCTTGTCTAATGTTAAGTCCAAGTCACAAAACAATCTTGCCCTAACTTGATCACTGACAATTCCACAAACAATGCGATCTGTAATAAAAGAGTCAATCAAATTGCCATATTCACAAGTCTTTGCTTTATATCTGAGATCAGTAACATAATTGTCTGATTCATTGCGACCTTGATTTCTGGTGTTGAACAAATGTCTCTCATAGGCAACATTTCTTCTTTGGTTACAATAAGCTTCAAATTTCTCATATATTGGCTCTAATTTTGTTTCATCACCTGCATTTGTCCAACTGAAAGTGTTGTAAATCTCCAAAGCATCAGTTCCAAGCACATGAAGAAAAGTATTTGCCTGCACTGCTTCAGCCTTCTCAGCAGTACCACTTGCAACCAGGTAAATCCTAAATTTTTGCTAAAATCTTCTCCAGTTTTCTGCCAAATTGCCCTTCAAACATAGCCCAGGAGGTGGGCTAATTTTTTCCATTTCCAGTTTACTCCTGACACCATGTAAGACATCAATGACCAAGATGTAGGACATCAGTGACACTTTAATATGTCTGACTCAACAGTGCTTGAGTACAAGGGAGATAACTCCAGAGGATTTTAGATTCCAAATCAAGTTAACATGCACAACATGGACCCTAGTTAAGTCAACCTGCATAAGCATTCTATGACAGCCATTGCCAGATAGATGTCGCGTTTACAGACAGACATCAGACAGGCGTAGAAGCGGAGACCACAGGTGACCACGCCCATTGGAGACCACTACATTCATTTCCGTGTGTTGCTTGGACATCCCTAGTCATGTCAAGGGTCAAGGTCATCCTCGAGGTCATAGAATAGCATTATATATTACTTCATGTCTATGAACAGTCTATGGTTATTGTCACGGTAATTGCATCACTTATAAAAAACATCAGCAAACTAGTAAGGTGTTTTCATTACAGTTGGCTGATGAATAAAGTCCAGGAACACTGAAAGTTGGATGAGTCAAAGAAAAATCTGGCCATGATCATGTTCGGTAGTTCTCGATCAACCTGATAATAGTCATTTTAACTGCATATCCTCTCCTAAAATACTGCACAAATAGCTGGGGAAAAAACTGGTGTCGCTGAACCCGCACTTTCTGTCTCGTTTTATCGGTTTTATGGAACTAAAACATAATGCTTGGATGAATTGCACAACCCAGAACAACACAAGAAAGCCATGGGTCAGTTTAACAGTCACGATGAGGGTAAAGTCAGTCCATGTTGTCAGCAAAGCACTTTGTTTAGTGTCGACAAAATGGCTGACTAGTCCTCTAAGAGCACCAGAACGAGGCTACGAATTTGCAAATCACTATTGCGCGATGACGTCTTAGTCTTTAAAAAATATTTTAAAATATATTTACAAATTGTTTTGGCTGAATTAAGAGATTTTAATGGACGTTTATCCTTACCGAGAATAGTCGTTAAAGGCGTAGGATTTTCTGTTTTCAAATTGTTTTGCTACAAACATGTGTGTCCGAATTAAAACATTTGTCTAAATTTACACACCTTGGTCCACCACGTTCTGCACGTCCTGGTTGGTGGTGTGAGCCATGAAGCCCAGGATGGAGAAGATGGTGAAGCCTGCCAAAAGACTTCCCAAAAAGTTGACGAAAGAAACTATAATAGCATCACTGTAACAAGACATAACATTGATATCAAAAGCCGAAGAAACGAAACATGACTGACCGACGACCTGACGAAGAGACCACGAATAGTTCAAAAATATCTCCGCACATTTATAAGCTGTCCTTAACGGTCTGGCTGCACAAAGTGACCTGAGATGTCGATGTTATATATTCCTTACAAGAAGATTTTCTGGGAAAAGGCTAAGATATTTCAAGGAACAGCCCAACGAGAGAGTCGAACAAAGTGCCAGATAGCAAGGTTTGGCACCGTCACTGTAGTACTACTTTCAACGAGTGTACATCTATCCAGATATCGTCTAAACTTGACGGGAGGCGAGTTTCTCATACTTACTATTCACAGTTGTTCTTAAACTTGTTGAAACTGGACATGGTCAAAAGCCCACCGAATCCAGGACCCAGGGAGTAGAAAATCTGAGTAGCTGCATCTCCCCATACCTGCAAACCAAGATGAAAATAATGTGTATTAAAAAAAATCGCCACCTACACATCCTACCCTTTCCACATCCCACAAACATGTGTACCTTGTATACCTTACATCCAATCTGTGCAACTGCCCGTCTGGCCCCATGCATGCAATAGACCGTGACGTGTCTGGCCAAATGTAGACTTTAATGCACAGAAATGCCATCATCCATTATTATATTTTTTTTAAATGAGTAAACGATGATCTTCGCTGAACTATATCTACAAACAATATTGTAACCTACTTACAAGCATGGTTTGGGTTTTGTATTATTTACATACAGTGTACTGTTTTAATAGTTTCAAATCATGTTTGGTGCTTAGGTGAGAGTGAGTTGGAATTATGGCCGCTTTGAACAGTATTCCGGTTATATCACAGCGTGTCATCTTTATGTGGCAGTGAAGCCAGAAGCAGGTGACGTTTACCACTTGGAGGCAACAGCATCATGGTCAAGGGAGGTATCTGCCACGAGCATTGGTATGGTGCTGACAAACCTAGAAACATATTCGGGCGAAACGGAATTCGAAACACAATCAAAGGTTAATGTCGTGCCCAAAGGGACGCAACTCTGCACAGCGAATCGCAGCGTCTTAGAGGACTGGGCAAACCTTTCCCCCTATGACGTTTCTAATATGGTTTGGTGCATAAAAAGTTGTGTGGATAGATGGTTCTCCCCCAAGATGTCGTCGCTACACTAGGCGCATATATATAGGGGGCTGACAATAATTATGAGCATGGGTATATAAGATGAATTAGAACTTTTTTCTATTAAGAGAGTTAGAACAAATAAATTAAGTACATTATATTTGTGAGATTACACAATTCCTGTACTAAACTTCAACAACAAAATCAGCCAAAGAAAAGAAAAAGCGAAGTGACATTGATATAACAATCATTACATAAGGTGTTTACCTTGGCCTCTGTCAACTTAGGAAGCTGTGGTGTCATGTAAAATGAGATTCCCTTCTCGTGTCCTGGCAGCGTCACGCCCCGGATCAGCAGCACCAACATGATGACGTAGGGGAAGGTGGCGGTGAAATACACGACCTGGCAGGGAAGCATGAGTGAGTGAATGTTGTTTTATAGACACAAGTGGTAGAATAGACATTCCAGTTGGATGGCACGTTTAGATACGCATGTTCACATGTCGCTTTCCATCATGAATGGAAGTGTAATGACGTTTCGATCCGTGTTCCAGTAACATCCACATCAAATTTACAATTTTGATAAACCCATGTGCATGTGAATGGTGCTGAGATGTTATGGAAAGGCAAAATTACAAACTATTTATTCACAAACGCCAAGTAGAACTTTATGACAAGAAAGAAGCTTCTGAATGAATGTATCCCTCCAGGGATTGCGACTCAGATGCTTTGTGGTACAGTACCTTGCCGGATGATTTGATTCCTTTCTTCAGACAGACGAAGATGAGGAGCCAGGTCAGGAATAGGCACATGGTGTTCTTTAGACTGAACCCTCCCAAATCCTCAAACCCATCCGATTCGTGGAGACGAAGTACATAGCGCCAAAAATTCAATTTTATTAATAAATATTTTTTTCGTTTATGTTTCCATTAACCGGGAAAAAAATATGTTTCCCGTTTGGCTGATAATAGAATGGGCGGAGCTTGTCACTGATTTAGCACTGTTATCTGCAATTTTGTTTGTTAATCATTAAATAAGCCACCTGTTAAGTTATTATTGTTGATGTATATATTTATAAAAAGTAACTTCAATATGTATATGCGTTTATGGAGTTATAAACAGTTAAATACAGTTATGCACACTTTGCATTTGCGCGGGACCCGTGAAGGTCTGGGGTAGAATATCAAATGTTTTCACCTGGTTCAGTTTTTGTTTTCTCCTAAATAATGCTTACATGCCTTCATCTAAATAACAATGATCATAAGAAAGCTGTGCATTGTAAGATTCCGACCTGTACCATAAACATGTATTCATGAATCATTTGACCCGTGAAGATCCGGAGTCACCAACCCATGCTTGCCATAAAATGCGGCTATGGTTGTTGTAAGAGGCGACTAACGGGATAGGGTGGTCAGGCTCGCTGACTTGGTTTCTCCGTGTCATCGTATCCCAATTGAGTGGATCGATGCTCATGATGTCAATCACTGGAATGTCTGGTCCAGACTCAATTATTTACAGACCTTCGTCATATAGCTGGGATATTGCTGAGTGCGGCGTTAAACAACAAACAAACAAACCAAGGATATGCGCGGATTTACACAGTTTACATTTATACCTCCATAAACACAAAATATGTTGCAATTCAGTTATTAACATTATTATAATATTGTGATTATCTACTCACGAACTTTTGCATTAGAACACTTGAAGATGAAATTATTGTTTTTGCATATATGTGTCAGAGATAAAATGTATGTAGAATTCGGATGGACAGATAGGCCTGAACTTAATTTGTTCTCACGCCAAATACCCGGGTTCGATTCCCGACATGGGTACAATGTGTGAAGCCCATTTCATGTGTCCCCCGCCGTGATATTGCTGGAATATTGCTAAAAGCGGCGTAAAACCATACTCACTCACTCACTCAAATTTGTTCCGACAGTAACGTAATCTCTTCATACTCCCAGTACTCTTCACTGGCTGTTGTGTACTTGATGAGGCAGCTCTTGGTGATGTCGTCCTGGATCATGGTGGAGTTGAGGTCATCGGTGCTGTTGAAAGTGGAGTTGTAGACGTCGGAGATGTTGCTGAGGAGGCCGTCTACACATGGCTGATTGTACAACTCTCCTGCAGAAGTAGGAAGAATAATGATAACCTTTGAGGAGAGGGCAGTTCACCATTATTAGCCCTGGGCGACAAGGCAGTTGAAAATGGGAGTGCTTATTGAAACCATAAACAGCTAGTTACATTTGTTTCCAGAGATAGACTGGCAGTGATGAAAATGTTTTCTCTTTGATAATAGCTACTGGGCAATTATCTGCCTCTTCTACGGTTTTATTTTCTGAAAAACAATATGTAAAATAAACAAGAATAATCGATTCTATAGACAAAAGTACATTGTCCCCGAAAATGCTTCAAAGATTGCTACACATGCATTATACTGGACACCAATCCGCCAAGTTTGTTTGATGCAGCTAATAATGTATTTTATATCTACTATAGTAATTAAAGATTTGACAAGCTCTTGCACATCCTTACCAAAATGGCGGAAGGTGTCCGGTATACTGCCTTCTTACCCCAAAAATAAATTGTTAGCCAAAAACATACATTGTTGCAAGTTGTTTTTCGTAAAACGTATATAGGCTCATAGTTCCATTGCAGAAATATCTGGCTTTGCAGATGTAGCTGGAAAAAAGCTTGACTCCAAAACAAATCCCAGGCCCCTTACTAAACAATGTCATTGTTTTGTTATCCTCGGTCATGGATGACAAAGCTGGATAGGACTCAGTCCTGCAGGAGTTGGTGTTCCAGGAATTGCCACACGACCCCCAGGGAATTGAGTAATCTAGGTTGACGAAGCTGACAAACATGTAGTACACGGCGTACATGATGACGACGTTGAAGTAGATGGACACCATGAAGCTGGTGATCACCATGGCAAACCCAATACCTGAAACAGTTATTGTTATCAGAGGATAACTGACAACTATTATATATGGACGTGTTCCTAATTACTTCATCAGTAGAGGATTAATATCGACAATCAAATATATAAGGAAGACTTATCAGATTGACGAGGTAGACTTTCGATTCTGATTGGTCAGTTTCAATGCACAATAGCATGTCCTCCACAATACAGTACCAGTTTCATCCAAACAATTGTGTTTAGTCGTACACATTACCTTTAGAAGCGCATGCATATGGATATTTAGCATAGATGCTTTGTAAATGATAAATTTAAATGTACACTCCAGGTATTACCATGAAATGCTGGAGAGACTTTCCACACAGTGATCGATCCCTCAGAAGCGAACTGACCCAGGGCCAGCTCCATGAAGAACATCGGCAGTCCTACCACCACCAGCATTATAAGGTAGGGGATGACGAACGTGGCTGTCAACCAAATGGAGAAACAGTAACACACTCTTGTTGCTGTGAAACATCAGGCAACATTTATGCTGTAATACCTTCTTAGTTAAACGGGATCGTTTCACTTTTGTAGACTAGATTTGACACCTGAATTATGATTTCTATTGCCATGCCATTATTGTAAAATTAAAAAGAAAAATTACAGTAGTTGCCAGTTTGTCATAATTTCTATGACAAACTTTAGCGATTGTATTCGAACATCCAGACAGGTGACGGATACACTATGTAGAAGACGTCATATCACGAGGTCCTGTATCAAGTACAATCTCAGCGATTTCAAAGTCCAAGTCGCTGCATCAACCGGCACCACTTGTGTAAAGCCGGCCAGCACCACTTGTGTGAAGGCGGCCAGCACCTTGAGTGACTGATGCCGACAGAGCTATTGTTGTTAAGGTATAAAGTGATATCCTGTGACATGAATTGATGCACGATCCAAACTGTATGCGTTCAGTTACAATTTACTTGAACACACATGAACGATGTATGAGTGAGTGGCGTATGAACACATACCTCCCCCATTCTTGTAGCAGAGGTAGGGAAACCTCCAGACTGTTCCAAGGCTGACAGAGTAGCCGATACAAGACAGCAGGAACTGGACCTTGTTTCCCCAGGATTCTCTCTCTACAACCTGATGAGTAAATACATACATGTATGTCAGTTGCATTGGAGCATTTGCAAAGGGGTACACACAGTGCAATCAGGTACAGGAAAGGGGGAAACATGGATTGATGTTGCATTTATCTTGTTTGTTTGTTTGTTTGTTGTTTAACGCCGCACTCAGCAATATTCCAGTTATATGACGGCGGTCTGTAAATAAGCGATTTTGGACAATCCAGTGATTGACATCATGAGCATCGATCCACACAATTGGGATAAGATGACATGCATCAACCAAGACATTTCTCGAACCGAAAGCTACATAAGCTTTATGTATTGCATGAGAAAGAATCAGTAAGTTTGGAATTTTTATAAATTGCGATATCATAAAATACAAATACCTCTGATTATAACCCCAGCGATGTCTCGTAGTATTGCACTGTTATATGGCAGTACATTTATTGTTTAACAGTGATTGTAGCTGTGTTGTATTGTTTCTGTTGGGATTCGGAGGATGCACAATTTATTGTGTTTGGACAGTGATCAGTAGTCAGGAATCTTCTATATTTAGATGCGAGCGGGGTGTGTAAACTTCCGGTCCGATATACCGCGGACGGTGACAGTAAGTCATGTTCTTTTATGTTGCAGAACCGATGGACTGGTGAGGGCATTGTGTAGAACTTTCCAGTTGGGCTATATATAGAAGGAGACAAGAGCGTGTTATGCATCTCATCACATCGGAACAAGCTTTCATGTGAGGATCGCTCTTCATCACTGATTCCTGCCAATCCCATCTCGGAAGCTTGACCAATGTCGCCGCTGGGTAAAGATATCTTTTTATCACAGACTTGTGCTGTCATCACTGTATTTGTGTATTCGCTACTGCCAACTACCATCATATCATACACTGCCATTGAATTTGGTACTAACACTATAGATTACTGCCATTGTAATTGCTGCGTAGTAATTTGCATTGATTTGTAAACTTAGTGAATTTTGTAATACATTTGTTTGTATGCCACTTGTTGGATGTTTGTTGGTTTCAAAGTAAGTTCTTTTACCCATAGATTTCTGGGCCAACATTATTGTTTCACTTGGGGAATCGACACGTAACAGTACGCAGTAATCTTTTGGGGTGGTGTTCCCTCCAACTGACGTCTCCTCAACTAGCACAATTACTACTGTCAACGCGCATGTTGAGGGGGAATTAGCTCTTCGGGGAATAAAGGACAAAATCGACATCACTGTTCCGGAACGCTTTATGCACAACATGTAAACAATAAATGTCATACTATAAATAAAAGTAATTAACGGGAAGTGATAAAGTATCCCAGGTTGGCTGTCAGTCAATATACAATGAAATGTTGTTGAGGATTAACAACGGGGATTAGCGAAAGAGCCAAATTCACATTACCTGGGTTTACCCAATATAGAAAAGACATAAATACTCATGCCTGGTAACAAGGGAGGAGGACTTATCACCCTTGTCCCCGACCCCTGACCGCTGTAACTCCAAAAATATCGAAACAAATGTACGTAACCTTGACACCCACGTAATCTCCTTTAAACTGCGAACATAGAAATCATATGAATACAAAAACTTTAATGAATGCTAAAACTCACCATAGATATGTGTGCCTTACTCCCATGCGGGCTCTATGGATGTAATGTCTGGGGACTATTAACCCTCAAAGAATACGATATGCTGGAAGTTATTCAACGTTATTTCAGTAGAAAAATACAGGGCCTTCCAAAATGTACATCAGGTGTTTTAAATATATTTATTTCACAGCTTGTGAACTGGATTGGTAAACAAGCAAAAACTTATTTGAATACCGCTCCAGATTTAGAATACAACATAATATGACAAAAGTACAGTCAAGGAATACAATTGTATACATGTTCTTATTATAGAAACTACGTTGAAACTACGTTGTCGGCGCTGTCAGGTCTCATTTTTAGTAGTAATAGTGTACCGCAATATACGGCAAGGAATAGTATTATAAATTTAAGATGCTATGTAAAATCACAAAACCTATTGGATAGCTGAATGTAGTCTTGTACTGATTTAAGAATTTCTAAGTTTATTTTTGACGTCCTTTCAGGATTACCTAATAGAATTGAATTTAGATCATATCCCTTAACATAATAGTACATATTCTGTCTTAAATCATTGTAATTTGGGCAAAGAAAGTGAAGTGCATCTTCAGTGTGATAGCCACAACTACATGCGGGATTATCTGATAAATATCGTGCGACCCGGTCTGCATTAAGATCACTGCATCCAAGTCGAAGGCGGGCGTGCACAATTTGACAAAATCTGGACCCGTAGTTTAGATCAAAACTTATCATTTTTTTTAAGTCCTCTTTATATGTTTTTTGAAAGTACTCAATGTATCTGCATCTATATATTCGTCTGATAGCGAATTCCAAATTTGGACAGTATCAGGAATAAAAGATTTAGCATAATTTACCGTTTTACAGTTAACAGTTTGCAAATTAGAACTATTTCTCAAATTGAACCTACTCGTTTCTGAGACTTTTTGAGGAATAAGATCAGAAAGATAAGCCGGTACTAAATTATTTACCATTTTATAAAAAGTACTTAGTTTCGACATGTATCGTCGTTCTTCTAGTGATGTTAGGTTAGTTTCCTTATATAGTTTACTGTGACTGGTGCCACGGACGGCTCCGCAAATAGTTCTTAGTGCATCTAGGTTTAATTTTTCAAGCAGTGATGCTTGCTCCTTTGTACAATTATCCCAAATGTGACAACTGTAATCAAAGATTGGCAAGATAAAGGATTTATACATTGTTTCTAAGGTCTTTCTACTAAGGCGGTATTTAAAGCTTCTAAGACAATTAATCATTGGACTAACCTTCTTAAGTATACTATCAGTATGATAGTCCCAAAGGCAATCATGTTGAAGTATTAAACCTAAATGTTTATGGGAGTTAACTTCCTCGATTATAGTATCATTAAGTTTCAAACTTGGTTTAGGAGTAGGACGTATTTTACGTGAGAACTGGACAGATATGGGTTTGCTAGGGTTGAAGTTAACCTGCCACATTTCAGCCCATATAGAAATGTTGGCTAAGTCAGTGTTTAAACAATTAGCTGCTGTATCGGGATCGTCTACAACTACATAAAGACGATATCATCTGCAAACAGTCTAATATTACTTCCAATTTCATCGACAATATCATTTATATAGATAATAAATAAAAGTGGTCCTAATACTGACCCCTGAGGGACACCAGCCATAACAGGTCTTAAGTCTGAACTATAACCATTTATAACTACTTTTTGGGATCTATTTTCTAAGTAACTTGGGAACCATTGTAAAAGTCAGGTACTGTTGCTGTGGACAACATGGGCTTGATATCTCTCCAATCCTTTATTGACAAACAGTCACTGTTACTACTTGGAAAACTAAGCCGTTCCAGTTACAGCTATGTTTTTAACAAGGTATTCATTACTCGCCTTGGGCAATTTAGATATGAAATAGCGTTGGATAACTTCAGAAAACGATGTGCTTTGTCACCTGTATATAACATGCTTAGACTTGTCAAAAAATACAATCTCTATGCAGAAATAGAAGATTATCTTATTAAATGTAGCTTCCCAAGTAAAAAGGCATGGTCTGATATTGTTAAGGAAAGGATTATTTTTGCAGACCAGGAAGCTGTATGCTCTAAGCTGCTATCTAGACTTAACTTAAATAGATATGTTTCGCTACGTAATGATAAAGAACACAGACTCTGGCTGCTTGCACTTGAACGTCCTGAACAGTTCCCAAACCTGTCTCATCTTGTACGGCTGGGATGCCTAAATATAGAATCTAGGGAATGTCGATGTAGAATTGTAGCTCATGATATTATTAAGCATGTCTTCTTGTATTGTACATTGAATATGAACGACAGAAATGAACTATTTGAAATCATTTGTGATGTGATAGATGTCTCTACATTTGCAAGACTATGTAGTGAGGACGATGATAGAGAGAGAGAGAGAGAGAGAGAGAGAGAGAGAGAGAGAGAGAGAGAGAGAGATTCTTTATTTCCTCCAGATGCGATTCCGAAGATTACAATGAATATATATTCAATTACACGCAGTTAACACAATAAAAAAAGGCATAACATATTTACAATTACACACAGTTTATCAAATTCAGATACCTAAATGATGACAGATTTTCACTAGAAGATATATATCAAAAGATGCCTTAGTTTGTACAGATACGAGGAGAACTGAAGTATAATAGTTTCCCAGGTGTGTTGATCCAGATTGTGAGTAAATTTTGTTTCAGCCCCAAATAAGACTGATAACATATCTGTTTCATCTTGCATTTCAAAATCAACATATTTTTGAACGTCAAGTACGTCAATGAGAGAAGAGAAAAACGCATTTCTTTCTGATATCAGCGCTTCACAATGTAAAATAACGTGGCTGTCATAGTCAAAAGCATGCCTATTACAGAGCATGCACTCTTTCGAAGGTTTACTACGTGATGAGACTTTCACACAGAGTTGTAAAGCAGGTCGATATTCCGGGTACAGAAAAGCTAATTGCCAAAGTACATGGTATGTTAATTTCGTATGAATTCTCTTATAACGGGACATGCTTGCGTTATTTGATACATTTGTGAGCCATGATTGTTCTTCGTATTTGCATATAGTTTCGTTAACACGATTTCTCCATTTCAATTTTGGAGGGAAAGTACCGTACTGAGTATATGCACGAAGGTAGGGACTCAGATTGTATTTATCAAGTGTTGATTTAAGATCTCCACAGATTGTCTTTGAATTGACAGGGCTTGTAATGGACGCGCAAAAAATATCTTTTGCAATGTTATTACAGTTCAGATTGCATAAACGACCAAGAAATAAAAGTTTGCATTTATCAATATATGCAGTAATTGTCCAAAGTCCAAGGTTCGAAATAGTAGATTCTGAGGGAGATCTTTTATCAAGACCCTGTACAATGCGTGCAAAATATCTTTGCGTGCCTTCCAACAGAGCGGCATGTTG